TCAATTTTCATCTTTTGAAGATCTTTTTAGACTTTTTAGAAATTTCAAGATTTCCCCTACAATCTCTATGTTGATAATTTTTGCTTTTGAAGATATTATCTTAATGTAAGTTTCCTTGACAAAAAGTGAATTTTGTTGACTTTTGAAAATGACCTATAATGTATTAGCCCATATCTTTCAAATGAAGCATTTCTTGGACTTGATAATAAAATCAAAGTTGTAGAGAATTGAATTTTATTCAAAATGGGCTTTGGTTGGGGAAAAGTTTATGAAGCATGTGAAAGTTATGCCTGGTCAAGTTCAGTTAACTTCTCTTAAGGAAACCCTAATTTGGCAATTCTTGACTTTTGATGATTTGAGAGCTTTCCTTCGGGAATCATGATCAACCCTTGATTAAGTGATAAATATAACTTCAAAATGTTGATGTTGACCAAAAATCTTGAAGTTTGACTGTATGTTGACCACAGTTGACTTTTTGATCAATATAGTTGATTTTCAATCATCAGAGCCATTGACTGAGCAAACTTTTGATGTAGGGCTTGAAACTTGACATGGACCTTGTTGAGGACCTATGAAGAACCATGGAAGCAACTTGAGGCCTTTGCAACTCAAACTTATTTGAGGAACTCAAAACCCTAGTTGTAGACCTTTAGGCTTGAGAGGTGAGTTGACTGGTCAACCCTTGAGTATCTTGAGTGTTTGAGAAGCTTTAAAAGAATATCTTGAGAAAGAAGGGAGGGCAAATTTTGGGGTACAACAGCTTCCCCTGTTTAATCTTCTTAACCCTGAAGAGTTAGATTGGCATGTCTGCCATTCGTGACTTGAAGGTAGAAGATGATTGAACACGTAACTTCCCAGAAATTTGCACTCGCCTGTGCAAGAGGTAACATTGTTGGTTGATTGTATCGGGAATGGGCTTATAGATGCCATTTGGAGAGGTGACAAAGAGTTGTTGGAGATGGGCTTATAGATGCCATCCAAAATAACCGTTGACTTCAATTGGAAGAAGTATCAGAATAAATCTTTAGTTGATTTAAACTGAACCAGAGAAAGGTCTACTAGAAAAGCATCAGGATAAATCATTGGTTGATTTAAACTGAATTAGCATATGTCTATAATTGTATTTAACTGGATAAGAATCAGAATAAATCTTTGGGCGATTTAAACTGAACCAGAAAAAGTGTCTACTGGAAAAGAATCAAGATATATCATTGGTCGATTTAAACTGAACCAGAGACAACTCTACTGGAAAAGCGTCAGGATAAATCATTGGCCGATTTAAAGTGAACCAGCAACTGTCTGTATTTAAATTTAACTGGATAAGAATCAAAATAAGTCTTTGAGTCGACTTAAACTGCACCAGAAAAGTGTCTACTGGAAAAGAATCGGGATAAATCATTGGTCGATTTAAACTGAACCAACAGATGTCTGTACTTGTATTTAACTGGATAAGAATCAGAATAAATCTTTGGGTGACTTAAACTGAACCTAGAGAAAGGTATCTTGATTTGTCTTTAACTGGATAAGAATCAGAATAAATCTTTGAGCGATTTAAACTGAACTAGAGAAAGGTGTCTACTGGAAAAGAATCAGGATAAATCATTGGTCAATTTAAACTGAACCAGCCGAGGTCTGTACTTGTCTTTAACTGGATAAGAATCAGAATAAATCTTTGGGCGATTTAAACTGAACCAAAGAAAGTGTCTGCTGGAAGAAGCATCAGAACAAATCATTGGTCGATTTGAACTGAACCAGCACATACCTTGAATGTCTTTAACTGGATAAGAATCATAATAAATCTTTGGGCGATTTAAACTGAACCAAATAAAGGTGTCTGCTAGAAAAGCATCAGGATAAATCATTGGTCGATTTAAACTGAACCAGCAGAGATCTGTACATGTCTTTAACTGGATAAGAATCAGAATAAATCTTTGGGTGATTTAAACTGAACCAGAGAAAGTGTCCGCTGGAAGAAGAATTAGAACAAATCATTGGTCGATTTAAACTGAACCAGTAGATGCCTTGAATGTCTTTAATTGGATAAGAATCAGAATAAATCTATGGGTGATTTAAACTGAACCAGAGAAAGGTGTCTACTGGAAAAGAATCAGGTTAAATCATTGGTCGATTTGAACTGAACCAACAGAGGTATGTACTTGTCTTTAACTGGATAAGAATCCGAATAAATCTTTGGGCGATTTAAACTGAACTAGAGAAAGTGTCCGCTGGAAGAAGCATCAGAATAAATCATTGGTCGATTTAAACTGAACCAACAAATGCCTTGAATGTCTTTAACTGGATAAGGATCAAAATAAATCTTTGGGCGATTTAAACTGAACCAGAGAAAGGTGTCTACTGGAAAAGCATCTGGATAAATTATTGGTTGATTTAAACTGAACCAACAGAGGTTTGTACTTGTCTTTAACTGGATAAGAATCAGAATAAATCTTTGAGAGATTTAAACTGAACCAGAGAAAGGTCTTTCGCCTGTTTTTAACTGGAGAAAATAAATCTACTAGAAGAGGTCTTTTTGAGAATGACCTTCTGAGGAAACTGCTGAAATAGCTCTTCGACAGATGTAGCCTTTGAGAAGACTGTCAGGTCATATAAGAGATTGATGATATTTGTCTATTGATTGGTCTTTCCTGAAAAGATAAAGAGTTAGTTGTATGCAATGTCATGATGTATGAAATACGTTACGTTACTTGTGCAATACACGACCAGATTTTATGTTTAGTGTCGGTATTGCAAGTAGATCCATGGAGAGACCAAAGGTGTCTCACTTGGAAGCAATTAAGAGGATACTAAGATACATCAAAGGAACTTTTGATTGTTGAATTCTCTTTCCCGTAGCTGATACGGAAAGAAAATAGAAGTTACTCAGCCAAACAGATTCCAACTGGTGTAGAGATAAGGACGATCGAAAGTCTACGGCTGATTATGTCTTTATGTTCGGAGGATCTCCAATCTCTTGGTGTTCTAAAAAGGAACCTGTGGTGGAACTCTCTTCTTGTGAGGCCGATTATATCATTGTGTCGTTGTATGCGTGTCAGGCTGTGTGACTTGTGAATCTGCTGGAATAACTGGGCAGGAAGGTTGAAGAAGTTGTCACACTCTTGGTTGACAATGTTTCAGCCATTAATCTTACAATGAATCCATAGCACATGAGAGGAGAAAGCATATCAAGATAAGGTTTTATTACTTGAGGGAACTAGTGCGTGTAGGTCAGCTGAGGTTAGGATACTGTCGAAACGAAAAACAACTTGCAGATTTGTTAACGAAAGGTGTAACAAATGTGGTGTTTAAGAAGCTTGTGATGAGTTTAAGTATGAAGAACTTGAAGCATTTGAATTAATGTGGTGTATTGGAAATTTAGAATAATTCAAATGTACTATGGAAGCTTTTGGAAGCATTGCGTCGAAACAACTTATCAGAAAAACACTTCTGAAAAGCAGAAAAAAGAAATTTGCAAAATGGAAATGATTACCCCTCCTGTGAAAATCGATTTCCCCCACTGATTTATGTTCGTTTATGTCTTTTCTGTTTTTCAATTGAGGAAATCGATTATCCCTGTTTGAGAAATCGATTTCCTCCTCGTGTTTTTGAGTTTTTGCTGTTTTAAAGGGCCTGTTTTAGTTCCAAGTTGTTTAGTTTGTATCCTATATATAGTCTCTCTTGTAATGTGTTTGAAAGTAATGCTATATATACATTTTTTTTCTTTTACTCTCTCTCTCTCTCATAATCTCCAAATTCTCTTTAACTTCATCTTCTTCAATTAACCACTTTTCACAATTAATTCACCAATTTATTGTGTATGTTCACCAATTTATTTTGTGTGTGTGCCAACATGAATGACTTATAAATTCTTCTCTCTTTATATTCTTATGGTTTAACAAGTAGATCCCTGCTGCCAAAACACAAAAGATGCAATGAAATTTTGCATACTCTTTCATAAGACGCTTCTCCACACTTGATTCAATTTACTTTTTAATACTAGGGTGAACAAATATGTAATGTGTTATGTGAAAAGGACATATTCAAGTTCTCGCAATCTTACTTAACTCATTATGGGAAGACAAGGTCTTGAAACTTAATAAAACCATCTATAGCCTTAAACAAGCTTCAATAGCCTGGAAGAAGAGAGTTGGTGAGTTCTTAAATTGAATTTGATAATTCCAGTTATATTGTTAAACATGGTATATTTGTCAAAGGATTGAATGAATGTAATCTCGCCATATTGTGCTTATATGCGGCCGATCTACTCATCACGGGAAGTAATCACACTAACATTGAGAACCTTAAATGGTAAATGAGCCTTGAATTTGATATGGCTGATGTAAGAGGACTGTGGTACTTCCTTAGTCTTGAATATTTTTATAATAGGAGAAGAATTGTAATCCATCAAAGGAAATTGTAGGTGTTGTGAGCAAATTTATGCAAGAACCTAAATTATTACATGTGCAAGCACTTAAAAGGATCATGAGATATCTCCAAAGCATAATTGACGATGCGTTTTGTTTTCAAAACCTAGATGCGAGGAGGCAAGTTGATTGGTTTTTATGATTTATATTAGTGTGAAGGAAAAATACAAATGAGAAGCACAATAGAGTATGTGTTCAAACTATACATTCTCATGGTGTCCTAAGAAACAAGCGGTAGTGGACTGCTCATCATGTAAGGCTAAATACATGAAAGGTTGCAATGCTGAATTAATGTCAAGGAAATGAAGATAGAAAAGGAAGAATAAGTAGAACTCATGGTAGACGACAAATCAGCAGTCAACCTTGTTATAAATTTCATAGATCATGGGAAGAGAAAGCACATAGAGATCACATTCCATTTTCTTAACTAGGCAAGGAAAATTCTCTGACAAATCAATCCATTCCCCAGAAATACCAATGTACATATAGCTACAGTGTACATATTCAAAAACAAGAGTATACAAATTTCACAAATATTATTTTTACAATTTAAATAAACAAGAAAGAATATGAAATTTTTCAATGAATTGGTAACAAATTGTTTATACTAGCCACAATAGCCAAACTATTGCTGGTATACTCATTTGATTTCTGCATCATTTTCTTTACCTTTTCAACAGTCTCCAAAGAAATCCCAACTTCTTCTAACCCATCAACGCACGTTTGTTGATCCGTCAACGCGGCACTAACCCACGTCTGAATATCTTTAATTTTACCATCCGTCAACGTTACGGCACCGTCAGGAATTGCCGAAACTGACTCGTTGAGTCGACTCACCGCGTCGTCTATTAGTTCCTTGCAATCGTCGAGCGCCTGGTTGTCGGAATTGTCTTTTAGCGATGAAGTGAGTTTGGTGAGCTCGTCGACGGAGGCGAGGATGGAGAGTTTGAGGATGGAGTTTGGGTTGGTGAGGTTTTGTGAGGAGGGAGATAGAGCGGTGAAGCATGAGCCAGGGAAGTGGGTTACGTTGCAAATGGATCTGAGTGAGTCGGGTGAGTTGAGGGGGGTTTGTGACTCGGTGTGGTGGAAGAAAAGGGTGAGGAAGAGGATGGTGATGATGATGATGATGGAAATTGTGGCGACGAGGGGTTTAGAGATTTTGTGGCGGTGATGCTGGTGATTTTGTTGATCTTCGAGGTTGGTTTCCACTTTGTCGTAACCTTGGAAAATTTTGAGAGAATCCATTGCTTGCTTTTTTTGGTCTTTGGAGATTTAGAGGAGTTTCCTGTTATTCATTTGAACAAAATATGAGAAAAAATATTACTATATTTTTCATGTATTATTTTATGGTTACGGCTAGCGTGAGGGTTCTTACAAATGCATCACCCATGGACCATCGTAAAAAACAACGACGTGCCGTTAGATTAAATATGCTTATATAATTTTAGGTGGAATTGTCACACTAAATTTCAACTTCATCAGTTCTCTCTCGACATAATATGTTTTTCTTATCGGGCCACAACATTCTTAATAATAGAGGCGTATGAGCCTGTTTCAATCCACTTTGTAAAATAATCGATGACGGCGAAGATGAAACGTTGTCCGTTAGAGGCAGTAGGCTTAGTCTCATCAATCATATCGATGCCCCACATTGCAAATGGCTATGGAGCAGTCAAGATATTCAAAGGGATCGGTGACACATGTATTTTGTCAGTATAAATCTGGCATTTGTGACAAGTTCTTGACTGGTGATGGGAATCCGTTTCCATTGATCGATCAATAATAACCTTCTCTCAGAATCTTCTTAGCCATCGTATGTCCACTGGAGTGAGTACTGAAGATTCCCTCATGCATATCTTCCATAATCTTCTCAGCCACCTTCTTGTCTACACAACGAAGCATAGTCGAATCATGGTTGCATTTGTATAAAATTTTGTTGCTCAAGAAGAACTTAGCAGAGAACCTTTGTAGGACTTTCTTGACTGGTGATGGCAATCTGTTTCCATAGTTGACAAATAATGATACACACTATGACTATTTATATACAACCCTAATTGGGTTAGAGCTAACACAACTTGTATTATATTAAATATTAAATCTAATCAAATCTAATCTAATTTAATATTTCAACACACTCCCATGATCCAAGTTGTCGAACATCCTCAAAAATAGTTAATCTGAATTATTCCTAATTTCTTTCTCAAATTTAGGAATCTGTCGATCTTCAATCTTTTGGTGAAAATGTCGGTCAACTGTGCTTCACTTGAGCAATGTCTAACTTCAAGTTCACCTTGATTTACTTTTTCCCTCAAGAAGTGAAATTTTGCTTCAATATGTTTACTTCTTCCATGCAGAACTGGATTCTTTGCCAGATTTATGGCTGACTTGTTGTCGATTTGCAATACTAGAAGTTTCATCACTTCGACAATCATTTCTTCAAGTACATATCTGATCCAAATTGATTGACATGCAGCATAGGATCCCGCTATATATTCAGCTTCACACGCTGACAATGCCACCACTGGTTGCTTCTTCAAACAACATGAGATTGGGGCACCAAATACTTGAAAGAAATATCCAGTTGTGCTTCTTCGTCTTCCTTATCTCCACACCAATCAGCATCTGAAAAACAATTAACTATTGCTTCTTTGCCTTCAGAATCTCGTCAAAATAGTATTCCATAATTTATTGAACCCTTCAAACATCAAAGGATTCTTCTTGCAGTCTTCATATGTGACACTCTTGGTTCACCCATATATCTGCTTACTAATCCGATTGCGAAACCTATATCAGGTCGACTATTGCACACATACCTCAGAGATCCCACAATTTGCTTGAACAAAGTTGCATCGACTTTGTCTTCCTCTCCATTCTTCTCCAACTTCACATTTGGTTCGACAGGTGAGGATGCAGGATTCGAATCATCCATTCTGAATCTCTTGAGTATTTCTTTGACATACTTTCTTTGATGTAGTACCATACCTTGCTTCGACATTTGAAATTTCATGCCTAGAAAATAAGACAATTTTCCTAGATCAAACATTTCAAATTCCTTCGTCATCAGCTCTTTGAAGTTCGACAAGTTCTCCAAACTATTTCCAGTTACTAGCAAGTCATCAACATACAAGCAGATGATTGTTATATCTTGTGCTACAACCTGAACATAGACATCATACTCTGATTTGCATTTGATAAATCTTAATTCGACTAAGTATGAGTCGATATTCTTGTTCCATGCCTTAGGTGCCTGCTTGAGGCCATAGAGCGCTTTGTGCAATCTATATACTTTACTCGCTTCCTTCTGAATCACAAACCCAAGAGGTTGTGTGACATAAACTTCTTCGTCTAAAGGACCATTCAAAAATGCTGATTTCACATCTAGATAAAATGTTGACCAGCCTTGGTTGCATGCCAATGCTACTACTAATCGAACAGTCTCTAATCTTGCTACTGGAGAAAATACTTCAGAGTAGTCAAGTCCTGCTCTTTGAAGAAAACCTCTAGCTACTAATCTTGCTTTATGTCTTGCTATTGACCCATCTGCATTGTGTTTCCACTTGAACACCCACTTTACTTCCATAGCTTTTGTATGTGTTGGCAATTCGACTAACTCCCATGTGTTGTTTCTTTCGATTGCCTGTAACTCTTCGAACATAGCTAACTTCCACTTGTTAATCTTCAAAGCTTCGCTATAGCTGATTGGTTCAGCACCTGCAAGTAAAGAAAAATAAACTAATTCTCCATCTGGTGTGATTTCATCATCACCCATCACTTCATAATCATGAAGTCTTGTTGGAAGAACTCTATTTCTTTGAGGTCTTTGGCTTGTTTCAGCCACAACCTCTTCGACTTCGACTGTGACGGGAGTGTCAGCAACCGCTTCTTCTTCGACTTCGACTGGATTATCAATAATTCCTTTGACCTCTACTTCATTAATTTCTTTGTTGAAATCAAAGTTCATTACTAGAGGTTTCTTCAACTTTTTATCAACTTTCTATTAACTTTTTTTTTCCTGACAACAGAGCCATGGAAGACATTTTTTCTCTCTTTTTTTTTTAATTTTTAATTTTGAACCTCTTACAAGAAATTTAAATTGGACTAATAATTCCTCTCATATGGTGGTTCTATTCAATGACATGATCGATCACGAGATAGAGGTCTATGTCGATGACATGAAAGCAAGATCTCAGACTGAAGAAGAACATCTTGACCATCTACACAAACTGTTTGAGAGACTGAAGAAGTACAAGCTGAGGTTAAACCCGAACAAGTGCACCTTTGGGGTGAGATCTAGTAAACTCCTGGGTTTCATTGTCAGTGGTAAAGGTATTGAAGTTGATTCCGCCAAAGTCAAAGAAATTCAAGAAATGTCAGCTCCCCGTACCGAGAAGGATGTCAGAGGTTTCTTGGGACGATTGAATTACATTGCCCAATTTATTTCTCATTTAAGTGCTACTTGTAAGCCGATCTTCAAGTTGTTGAAGAAAGATCAGGTAGTGAAGTCGAACGATGATTTCCAGATAGCTTTTGATAAGATCAAGGAGTACCTTCAAGAACCTCTGATTCTGATGCCACCAGTTGAAGGAAGATCGCTAATCATATACTTAACAGTGTTGGAGAATTCAATGAGGTGGGTACTGGGCCAGCATGACAAGTTTGGTCAAAAAGAGAATGTAATATAGCAAAAAGTTTACCGACTGTGAAACAAGATACTCACTGCTCGAAAAAAGTGGTTGCGCTTTGGCATGGGCTGCTCGCCGACTAAGACACTATATGTTAACCCATACCACTTTATTGATCTCTAAAATAGATCCCATCAAATACATATTCGAGAAGCCCGCTCTCCCCGGAAGGATAGCCAGATGGAAAATGGTCTTGACAGAATACAACATTTAATACACCACTCAGAAAGCAATCAAAGGAAGTGTAATGGCAGATCATTTGCCTCATCAAGCTGTAGACGACTACCAGTCTATTAATTTCGAGTTCCCGAACGAGAATATCATGTTAGTTACAGATAGTGAAGAACCTGGACCGTATGAAGGACCTGAGACAGGATCTCGATGGACTATGGTTTTTGACGGAGCTTCCAAAACGCTTGGTAATGGAGTTGGTGTTGTGATCATCTCCCCCAAGGGTTTCCATACGCCCTTCACCGCCAGACTTTGCTTTGATTGTACCAATAATATGACCGAATACGAAACATGCATCATGGGCATCAAAACTGCTATTGATCTAAGAATCAAATTCTTAAATGTATATGGGGACTCAGCCCTGGTAATCAGTCAGTTTAAGGGAGAATGTGATACGAAGCATCCGAATCTCATTCCTTATCGAGAACATGTAGTGACCTTAATCCCGTACTTTGAGGAAATTACTTTTGAGCATATCCCACGAGAAGAGAATCAGCTGGCAGATGCATTGGCTACCATGTCATCTATGTCCAAAATCAGATGGGACAATGAGGCTCATCAAATTACTATCCAAAGACTGGAAGAACCGGCATATTGCTACGAAGTCGATACTGATGGAGTAGAAGAGAAGCCTTGGTTTCATGAAGTGAAAAGATACCTCGAGGCTCAAGAATATCCCGAGGGGGCATCTATCAATGATAAGAAAGTCCTACAGAGGTTCTCTGCTAAGTTCTTCTTGAGCAACGAAATTTTATACAAATGCAACCATGATTCGACTATGCTTCGTTGTGTAGACAAGAAGGTGGCTGAGAAGATTATGGAAGATATGCATGAGGGAATCTTCAGTACTCACTCCAGTGGACATACGATGGCTAAGAAGATTCTGAGAGAGGGTTATTATTGGTCAACCATGGAAACGGATTGCCATCACCAGTCAAGAACTTGTCACAAATGCCAGATTTATACTGACAAAATACATGTGTCACTGATCCCTTTGAATATCTTGACTGCTCCATAGCCATTTGCAATGTGGGGCATCGATATGATTGATGAGACTAAGCCTACTGCCTCTAACGGACAACGTTTCATCTTCGCCGTCATCGATTATTTTACAAAGTGGATTGAAACAGACTCATACGCCTCTATTATTAAGAATGTTGTGGCCCGATAAGAAAAACATATTATGTCGAAAGAGAACTGATGAAGTTGAAATTTAGTGTGACAATTCCACCTAAAATTATATAAGCATATTTAATCTAACGGCACGTCGTTGTTTTTTACGATGGTCCATGGGTGATGCATTTGTAAGAACCCTCACGCTAGCCGTAACCA